AAATCAGACTGTGCTAAAACCCCAAAAAAATTATCTGTAATTGAAGGTGAAACAGTAAGTCAAAAAGTTAGAGCAGATTCTCAATCCTACTAGGCTATAAAATTTCTGAACTATCGATAATGAAATTGAGGGCGAAAAAGTCCTCGAGAAAGTTACTGAGTGATATAGGGCCCATTATAAGTCACTAGGATGAAACCCAAAATGAAGAAATATTTCACACCTAAAAGGGAGTGCAATTGTCTTATATAAAAACAATTTAAAAAGAACCTTGTTGTTCCGACTTAACTTGGAATAGTCACTTTTTCGAGTTGCGTTGCGAATTCAAAAAAATGAATTTAAAATCGAAAGCTTCAAATGATTTAAAATTATCGAGAAATCATAAACAAGAAATTTGATCTTAGCTTGAAATGGCCACTTTTAACCCGAATACCTCACAAAGTTAAACCGTTTGGGCTTTCGAAATTAGAGCTGATAAAACTAGCTTTCAAATATTTTCTTTTTAAAAAAGCAATATTGGGAAATAAATGTCCCAAGGTCACAGGTTTCTTCTTTGTATTTCTGTACACTAACAATGACATTCTACTAGTTAGCCAAGTTTGATAGAAAATATGAATAGTGGCTAGAGTTTAGGGAATTTTTTGAATCTCTAATATAATAATGAAAATATTACCAGCATTCAGAAATTTCATTATTTTCGTGCATACCTAAATGACAAGAGGCCCAATGAATCGTTGAAATCTTTCAATTTTACTGCTGAAAATTACATATCAGCTGGCTTGGATAGCATTGTTAGAGATGATAATTTTAAATTATTGATTCATAACCACTTAAAAAACATATTCGAGCAGTCATTTATACATAGAAACAATTTTATTGAAATAAGGCAATGTATGGATATTCCAGTGAAGAATATTCGGGCATGGTAAGTTTTTATATTGAAAGAGTGGGAAGAAAAAATAGTAGGTCAGGTTTCAATGAAGTTGTCGGATTTTATAGAATTTTTGAAATTGCCAGTTGAAGATTAGTTCTAATATCAAAGTTTCTTGAACTTGATAGTTCAAAGGGATCAACTAGATTGTAAATTAGGTAGATATCAAAAGAGAAATAAAAAAAAGATAAAATTGCTCTCAACACTAATTGTACACTGGTTAAATCTCATTACACGTTACTGTTATTGCATAAATAATAAACACTTTGGGATCTAAATTTCTCCTGTATAATTTTCAAGTTAAAAATAGGAAGGTTTGAAACGGTAAAAATAAAATATCGACTTAAATCATTAATTTTTTGTGTTTTGTGACATTTTGAACAAACTACATTCGAAATTAAATGACTCACTTGTAGGCGAGGGACACTTACTGACCCGTGGGACCAATCTTCAAATGAGTATGTTTGAAAAGTGATTTTAAAAAACTGTTTTTTTTTCATTTTTGTATAGAAAATATTTATTTTATTAGAACCGTAAGGTTGGTAATTTTATATTCTAAATATTTCGCCAAGGGTAATATGACCCCCTCCCCCCTAAACTTTTGGCTGGAGGGATTATTAAGGGAAAAATAGTAACCAAATTTCTTTCGAATAAATTGCAGCGTTTTTGATAGTAAGTCTCAGACGAACCGTTTTCGTTTTTCTTGCAATTTTTTGACATACCATTTTGGTACCTACCCATTGATATTGTGAATAACGCGTAAAGTTGAATATCTTGAAGCTGGATTTTTACACTTTTACCGACACATTCAGAATGTTTACTCCATATATGAATACATTCTCCTGAACTCCGGAATACTCACTGAAATGAATACTTTCCCATTTTGCAACATTCTTATCTTCGCATTCTGTTATTATTGTGATTTAAAGCTCTTATGATTGCCCATAATTTTAAATGTCAATGAACGCGTTAACAATTTTTGTACCCTCTTAAAAAATCCAAAACTAACTGATTAAATTTTGGTGATTTGCATCAATAATGATAAGCATCAAAATACGCAAATTTCCGAGATCTAGTAACGGCCAATCTTATGGATTCTACAGGCCAAAATCTATAAGAAAATAATCTTTTCCGGTCGATTTCAGGCAATTCATTTATCCAGCGCAAATTATAGGCAAGTGCCTATTACATTTTCACAGAAAATCGACTACCCCAAAAATTTTCGGGAAAAGACTTTTTCCTATTAATTTAGCTGCATAGATTCCAAAACGTCTCGTATTTTCTCGATTGGACCTCTAAATCAAAAGTTATACCTAAGCAAAAAAATTTCGAAAAAAATTCAAAGGGCCGTAACTTTTGATCTAGTGGCCCAATATTCAAACTGTTAGCAGTTGTGGATTCTACAGGCCAAAATCTATAAGAAAATGTTTTTTTACCGTTCGATTTCAGAAAATTCATTTTTCCGCCCCAAGTTATAGGCCTTAGCACATTCACAGACAGTCGACTACCTACCCCAAAAATGTTCGGGAAAGCGCTGTTTCCTATTAATTGATCTTCGTAGATTCCAAAACGTCTCGTATTTTGTCGATTGGACCTCTGAATCAAAAGGTATAGGTAAAAAACCATAGAGGGCAACATTACCAAAAATTATATCTTTGGAGGTTAAGTCAACTTGTTAGGAAAGACCATAACAAACGTTACGTGACGAATCTTTGGAAAAGAATAGGGACGAAGTTCTTAAATTACCCCCATAACATTGCGAGTACAATTGAAATTGCATGGGGTTTTGTAAAAATCACTACAACAAGCGTATAAATTGGCAGCTATCCAAGGTCACAAATTTATGACTTAAAGCTCTTTCAAAGTGTCCCTCTGACATTTGTGTAAGCATTGTGAAAAACTGATTTCGGCAGACTGGGTGAAATATGTGGGAAATGTTTCGTTTGAAAACATTCCACTTTTCATTATTTCATTTGAGGAATCTGAGTCAGAATCGGGCACCGATAATGATTCAGATACTTCCAATGAAACAATGGTAATGGAATAGTTTTTTTGGCATCAAAATTTTTGTTTATGGTATGGAAAATGAATGGGAACGGTTAACTCGTCAAAGTTCCAAAATTTAAGGAAAGATTCAAGAATTTCATACAAAAAGAACTAGAAGTCACTACACAACAGCTAAGACATGGAAAGGAATCACAATCCTCACCACGAACTCAGAAGGGGAAACACTGAATAGACCTACTTCATCAGTTAACACCCAGAAGAAAAAAGGCGAGAGCAAGACATCATCAGGCACTTTTCAAGTACAACTCAAACAGGAATTTTACAGTGGCGGATTTACATATAGGCACGTGGCTAGGGGCGGCAGCTTTAGGGGGCGGCACTTTCTGCACTATATTTATTTTAGGTAACATTTTCAGTTTTAAAATAAACCCCTAACAAGTTACAAATGACACAAATGTTTAATTAAAATTATGAAATAAATTGGAATTGGTACATAGATTCCTTTCTTATTAGTTTTAAAAATTTCGTGTTATCATTTGATTTTTATTTTAAAATTTATTGCAATTTAAAGATTATTTTGGGGCGCAAATCTTTCGGTGTGCCTAGGGGCGCAAAAAATCTAAATCCGCCACTGGGAACTTACAGAGCAGAGCTGCTCTAAGACAAACGACGGCAGAAACAATGAACGAAAAAGAGCATTCGGCCGATAAACGTAATAAGTTCATGAAAGTCATAGTAAGCTACCCGCCGGAAATAAGATTAACAGAAATTTGCTGATCTACGGGAGCAAGAACTACACTCAAGCGCAGTTTGGTATCAGCCTGGTTGTTGAGGGTGTGGGTAAAACTCGGACCCGGACCCGGACGGCGCTCCTTCCGGAAGTGGTGTCATCTTGGTTTTTATTAATAGAAACCTAGCATTTTCTATTTTCATCTAAATGCGTTAGTTTATTTTGAATCCAACGCAATTAAAATTTAAGTACCTACCTATCATCATAGTTTTAGACATATATCTCAAATTTTTTGAAGATGCAAGGGTCCATTCAGAAATTCATATCCCTGAAACCGTTTAACATAAGTGATCGTCCTATTTAATACTCGAATCTTTAAAGTCTAAGGAATTTTTTGAGTGACCGCCGAAAGTCTTGAAAAAGTTGCTGCGATTTTTCAGTTACCAATCCAAACATGTCAGAAACTTCATTTTTTCAAATTGCAAGTTGCAACTAATATTTCTGATGCCAGATATGAGTGTAGAGGGCCACTTTTACTCATATTCTGTATATGTATACCTATATCGGGTAGTTATTGAGCTATTAGTTTAAGAGATATGCATTTCTGAATGAAACCTTGCATTTTCAAATTGTTAGAGAAAAGTTGAAATATGCTATATTTATCGGGGTTTCTTGGTAGGATTAATGAAGAGGAGCCTCTTTACACATAAACAGTTGAAGACCACGTAGCATACTTTCAAAATCTATGCTATATAATACAAGAAGATTCAAGCCCTTAGAAAACTTTCCGAAATATTGCATTTTCCCTTTGTAGGTACCTACCTTCCTATACCATGTTCGAAATATTCATAATTAAGCTTTTACATTGAAAGTAAATGTCTTTTGACATCACGAATAGATATATCTGGCACTGACGTTCCACTTGCCCTTTATGGGTAGGTACCTACCATCTTTGATAAGGGGTATATAATTATAAATACCCATTTTGCAACACATCTTTTTTTAAATAATTTTAGTTTGCTTTTTGTTTAGGTTAAGTGTGTTAAAATGTAAGTGGTTTAAGTTAATTGGCGTAGAACATTATTATTATGTTCAATATTAGTCCGTAAAGTTAAGGTATAAAAAAAGTACCTATTTATTTGTGAACTGCTCATCACCCTAGCATGGCCTACTACCGGGACAATTACAATTGAATGGTATATAGTTAATAGTAATCATTTGAATCCTGGAAGCATGCATTCAAATAGATTAACTTACCTTTCCAACTTAACTGTATTAGGTTATTTTCCCTCCACCTACGAAACAAAAGGAGACAGGTTCACAAAACACATTCAGTTAGATTTTTGGATGTTATTTTTAAAATAAAATACATACAAGTTGAATGTAAGTTTAGGATCTTGAATTCAAACCGAATAACATAATAAAAGCTACCAGTGTCTCACTTTTTCATTGACAAACTCACTAATTTCTCTGTTATATTCTACTTAATTTCGGTTTGAATTCCATGATTATAATATAATACGATTTGCCTTCCTTAAATACTTCTTACAATATTATTTACATAATTTATAAATTCACAGAAATAATCAAACCTTAGCCAAATAAAACTCACTTTCCTCTTTAAACTTTTCCCAAACATAAACCGATTTTTAGTTTAACTTACATAGAGTTACATCTTACATTAATTAACAAATAATTGTATAAGTATTCTCGATCACAGGGATTTTTTTTTAGTATTTACATTAAAAGAGAAGCGAAGCGTGCAAATAGCGCACCGCTCTAGTCAGAGACTGGGGATGAATTACGGGGATATGTCGAGGGATATGCGTGGACTTCTGACATGAGCTTTGCTAATATTTGCGTTTACGCTTTGACGCCTGTACAGTTATAGCTTTTCAGTGAATAATATGAAAACTATCTATAAACATTCTGAAAAGTTTCATGAATAAGTCGATACCTATTATGATGAAGACTAGATAATTTTTTATACAATTTTAGTAACATCACATATTAAATTACCTAAAGTTATTATCATCGAGTGTACGAAAGATTAAATTAAGACTAATTTTGTGACGACTTAGTAATAAGCGTTTGCCGAACCTCTCGCCTTTTGTAAAAAAATACTTTGCAAGTACTACGAGGAAGCACTACGTGAATGGCAAACAAAGTCGTAAAGGAACGTTTTGGTTAAAAATCGCGAGAGGTCAGACGACGCACTGGGTCAGAAAAGTACGACTAGACAATGTTTTGATTGTTGTTTTTTTTTTTTATTTTATTACAAACATAGACCACTTTTTCGTAATTTGAGTTATATGTACACATTAAATCATGAAAGCTAGTTAATTCCAAAATATTAGTGCCATTTGAAACTACCTAGTAAAACGAATTTTCAAAAATACAATAAGCTTTTACACTTTCTTGCACAATTGGCGGTTTATACAGTACAAATAAAAAAAAAATGAAACAAAAGCCCGCAGTTATAACGAAATCCAAAAACCGTTGACCCACAAGCAAAACAAGGATTAATTCACAATGAGGAATGTACGTGAAAAACTATTGTAAAAACCATCATTCACTTATGTCTTTGGCTTTCACTTTAATACTCGACACGGGCAGCATAGTTACCTTAATGACAGTGCCATTACTACAAAGGAGCACAATGCTAAAATGGGGACACGGGGAAGGATGGTGGTGTGGCTTCCAGCTGCTGTAACACAAAAACGGACTTAGTAAGAAACAAATTAGTAAACCACGACACAAACAAGCACAAAGCTCAAAAGGAAAATCGATAGTGCGAAAACATGCATAGATCATGCGAAAATTCTAACAATAAAATTGCCTACGCTAACGCCTGTGCACAAATGAAACACAATATCTCTAGGATGACTTTAACCACTCAATCATTAACTGCGCTTTTCACTCTACCCATTACCAGGTGCACTTCTTCAACGTAAACAAAGCGCCAGTTTAATATCATCAGAACAATTCAGGAATTGTATTGAAATTTTTGTTTGCCTTTATGCATGAACATAAAAGAGAGAAACCCATTAAAAATTTACATTGCTCGGAATTTGCATAATGTTATAAATTGCAAAATGTTTCTGAATTTTTTATTATTTTTGCAACGAGATTTTATAATGAAAGGAGTTTATAGGTGAGCGAACAATAACGCATTGTATGGAACTGAAATGTAGGTAACGATGATTGCGCACATTCTTATTCATTGCTGGACGTTTTAGGTAATTGCGAGTAAATATCGTTTTGTGTAAACGCGAAATGTTTAGCTTGGTTAATTATTGTAACTGAGATTTTTTGAACGGGTAAATAGTAAGCTACATTTTTTGCTAGTTTTGGAATAATTAGTTTTAACAAGTACACACATTACTACCTTATGTAATTAAAGCTATAACCTATGATTTTCCACGCAAATAACAACATCGAGTTTTGTAATTGGTCCTTCACATCCAATTATTTTATTTTATAACCACCTCATTTATTTAATAATTGTTCGGCGATCACCCGTCGTTAATTAAAAACATAGCCATTCCTATCTCTCGGATATTTGACAAACTTTGTGGCCAATAGTCAAAAAGCATTTCGTGTAACAATTACATGTGGTTTTCTCCTCAGCCCCGTAGCCAGAATGAAGTAGCCGGGGTAGCCGGTAATTTTCTAGGTGCGGCTTAAGAAGTTTTTGATTAAGACTTCTCCTGTAATTTTTGTACAGGAACCATTGGTTTGGGTGATTGACTACGAATGTGCTATTAGTGTGTTTGGAGTAGTTGGCAAAAACGCTTAATTAAGGTGCCCTCTAGCCATTTTTATTAATTTGATGATCGTACCTGGGGGGGGGGGGGGCTTATTAACGCCACGTGGCCCATTTCGCTCTTGCTTTATTTTTGCTAGTGGGCAACGTTATGCACCCCGACCCACCTCTACTTTGCAGCTTACCGTGTGCTTATCTCGTGGTAATTTTAAAGAATCCATAGTTTCCAAGAAGATTAAAAGAATAGTAAAGAGTAACAGACCTGCCAGAATCCTAAGAAGACGCTAAATTTTGGAAAGTGGGAAAGTGACTTTATATACTGAAGTTGGTGTAACAAGGGCCAAATTACCAAATTCGAGGCCGTGGTGCTGTTCGTTGAAAGTTTACAAGGGGCGCGTTCTGCGCTAAATTTTGTTCCAAGGTTGCCTTTTTAGTGTACACAAAATTGGTCCTCGTAATTTTGATAGTTTGTACGGTGGTCAAGTTTATAACATTTTAGACAAAGTAGTAGAGCGAAAGCTTGAGAAGATGTCAAATTTGGGTGAAAGAGTTTCATTGAAGTTTATCTGTATTATTCGAGCATCCATCGTTTCATCGTTCGTGTTTTGGCCAGCCAGTCTAATTCAATGCAGTTCCTTGTGCCCCAAAGAGTTACAAAAAAATATAGTGCGCCCGGAGTTTTGCGATTTTTAACAGAAAAATGTAAGATCTCATTAATTTGTGTAATACGGACTTTATTATTGTACACTTTGATTGTTAGAATTTTGTTATTAATTTGATTTGTGTTAGCATAAACTTTGCTTGCGTTAATTCATGTAAATCGTGTGTGTATTCAAAACCCTTTAACGATCCAAATAGGAGTATCATGCTGAATTATGATTAATTTTGTTGACCCGTACCCAAAGTTTGAAAAATGCCGGTATACAGCCGTTATAAAATAGCAGAAGCGGAAGCAGAGGTCTGTTGCACCACTACTACTCAGCCTATGCGTAAATTCTGTCCTGACTGAGATTCTTGATTTTTAAGCTATCTATAAAACTTGTCTTAGTATCTTACGCCTCGTGGTTTTAACGTTACACGAGTTTCGCTATAATGTTCATATAATTAATAACTATTATGGAACGAATCTAAAAATTCACAGACCTTGTTATAATCAACGATTAGGGTATTTTTCGTAAGACAGTCGAGGGATCACTTACTGTTCAGAATGTCCTTGTTTTGCGATAAATATTTCCATAAAATGAAATATATAAATCCCTTCTGAGAGGATGTTGATGTAGGGCCCTGTGGTCCGTGGTTGTTTCGAAACTGACGGGTTGGTTATTATTTTTAATGCAGTTCTTGAGCTCGGTCAAGCTGTGAATAAATTTACGATCTATTTGACCAAATATATGTGGAATAGTACACGTCCTTCCTTATAGATTTTTTCGGGGGTAAGGAAGTAGTGATAATGGAGTTTTGTAACAAATTAACAACTTTATTGGTGGATGGGCCAATATATGTGAGCAACAGGTGGTATGATATCATACACTTAAAACATGACTATTTTCCGAAACATGTACCCAACCTCTTATTATAAGTAAAAAAAATACGGAGGAGGCCTTTTCAACAATCCTCTCTTTAGTAATAATGCAGGGTAAGAGTTTCAGATATTTATTTAAAAAAAGTAAAAAAAAAACATATTTTTGGACGCTATTAATAAATTTAGAGGGTGGTGAAATTTGCGCATGATAAATAGTACGCACTCTAACTGGATTGTTCATAAATTATAGTTAGGATCATGAGCCCTTTACGATTTTAGCAGAAGCAGAACGTGCATGTGCACCGGAAAACGTTAACAGTCAGGTCGCCCCCGATTATTCCCATAACTCACATCAAATGCAATTTTTAAGTAAAAGATTTATGAAGCGCTCGCATGCAAAGAAAATTGTGTGTACCTAATTTATCGTTAAATTATTTTTGTCTGAAAATGTAATTTACAAACGTTGGTCGTTAGGCCTTTTCGTATATAGTGAAACCTATATAATGCGAACATTCGTTTCCTTTTCAGGCGTTTATTTTGCTGGATGGACGAACAGCGGCCAGAAGATTTTCACATGCTTTTATTGCTTTACGGAAAGGAAAAATTTGGAAATAAATCCGAGATAAAAGCACCGGGTTGCCAGAAATGAAAATTAGTTCATAATTTCGGTCTAATTAAGCACGCGTCGGAATGGAGAAGGCCAGGGACAACCACTCCATTGTGGTGCCAGAGAAATATGGATTCTTCCAATATTACATTTTCCGGTGTTAAAATAGTTCCCAACTCGTATCTCCGTAGTGGACAGTATAGGAAGAGTACAGTCAAGAAAAACAATGAGGAGAAGGAAAAAGGTAAATTGAGAATGAAAGTCTACTAAAGGAAGAAAAGCTACAGCGAGAAATGGTTAAAAGGCAGACTGGATTTAATTAGAGTAAGTAAAACAAAATGGAAGAGACAGAGACAGGGAAATTGTGATGAAAAAAAGTAAGGAAAAACGGATTAGCGTTTATTGTCATCAAGGAACTTTTCAGGTGTCAACAAAAGTAATTCATGGCTGTGGTAGAGATGGTTCTTAAGCTTAACGCTGCGCCAAAGCACATGTTAGTGATTCAAGTGTACAAGCCAACCACTGACCATGCGGGTGGTCTTTCTGTGGAGAATATTATCAGGACACAAGCCATTAAAACCAATAGCTGAAGAGTTAGTTGAGAACGAATGGAATTTTAATTGCCATCATCCATAACTTATTAATCTCTGGACATTGGATTTATTAAATTGGGGATTTTGGAATAATTCGTGAACATATACTCCTGTAACTCCCTAGAGAGGATATAATTGCCATTTTTTTCTTCTTTATTGTAAGTACCCCCATTTGCATTTCATTTATTTGAAGTGTACCTTTTCTTTAGGTTCGGATGTTATACGATAATGTTTCCATCGACAATAAAATGTGAAAGTGAAGTGAAAATAGTAGAGGGCACAAGCGAGCGAATAAAAAAAGATATAACATGTTCCGTCAATAAGAATTAAGTTAATTATTATACGCGTTTGATATAAATTCAACATTCATACATACAACGGACGGTATATGCAGTACACAAAAGAAATTTTTTATCACAAAACGCTCTATAATGAAATTGCCTGTCAAAAAAAATTGCGCAAAACCTTAAATGTGCGGCAAACAAAACGGGAATTTTGTATTGTTTCATTAAATTAAAACTTAACATCCCGCAACATTCTCTGAAATTGAAAGCCACAAATATTTAATATTCAATTAATTAATTTGGGGTAGGTTATCAAATTTATAATTGGAAAATGTTGCCGTTGGGAAGCACAATCGAAAATATAGTTGATGTTAATACAAAAAATTCCTATATCTTTTTTAAACACGAGAATCTAAATAATTTCGAGTGCTGGTAGCAGTTTTACGAGAGAAGTTGCGCCGCGGTATTTTGTATTTGTGGGAATGCGAAAACGTGCACCTTTAGACGCTTGGAAATATTTCGGGTGGGGGGGGGGGTGGGGGGGCGATTAGAATTTCTCGATCTGTTTCATTCGTGAGGTCTTTACTAAGACCGGCGGAATTTCAATGACATGTTTGGGACATGTCGAAATTATCAATCAGGCAATGTTTATCATGAGACATTATAATTTTGGTGCATTTGAAATCAACAGAACTGATTCCAAGGTCGGAGACCATCTTGCTTTACGGTGGCTAAAAGAGAAGCATAGAATTCACCCCGGACATCGTTTAGTATGACGACCCTGGAAAGGTTTTCAATTTCTGAATTTGAAAAAGTAGATTTACTTTCCGAAATCTTCCTTATTGAAGCTTAAAGCACGCCCTTTACGCAGTTGTAAAAGAGTTTGATTGGGTCATCTATTAATTTAAATCATCGTACGGATTAGAGCGAACTTG